TATCGATGAGATAATTAGATGTTTCTTTAAAAAAAATCATTTCGCATAATGCTCCGCCATATTATAATAATAATTATCATAATGTATTATAATTATAATATATTTATTATAATTATATTCAATTAGATATGTGATCGAAATTTATTATACAGAGAAATAAGCAAGTTGTAAACATCAAATTTACGTTCTTTACATTTTTTTCTTTACATTTCTTCTTCTCTTCTTTTCTCTCGATTCATGTCTTCAATTTCCAAAACTTCTTCAATTTTTTAGCAGAATGTGAAAATAAATGTGTTTATGAATATTCGAAAAATATTTTAAATATTTACATAATTATATTCAATAGAGTATATTTCTACTGAATATATTTCTTTTAAAAAAATCATGTCACAATGTTACATGACGAAATCATATATTTAAGACAAGTAAGTCATGTATGGTAATAGATTGTTCCAAATTAGTGATTTTTTTCAACACGCAATTTGTGAAAAAACACATATTAAATCACATATTAAAAATAATTACATCCATCCTGTAATTTTATAGTTATTGAATTGTAAAGAATTGAATGATAAAGATAGAAGAAAAAAACATACCATGTTACTCTTCAAATTACATGATTTTAAAAAATCACATACTGATTTGAAAATCCGTTAAGTGATTTACTTGTTTTAATTACATGATTTTGTTATGTAACTTTGATGTGAATTTTTTCAGCAAGGATTGATCATGTTTGCTTATAATTAGCATAGTTCTAGTGCGTAACAATTTATATTCTTTATATCTTTTTTTATGTATTATACTCTCTCGTAAAAATATTATCAGAAAATTTTATTTTCCGTCAAAAGTTTGTTTCAATGAATATTGTGATTTTTATTGTCTATTAACATTTCCTTATAAAAAAGTATTATTGCGCTATAGTATTTTGAGGCACTATTGCACTATACTACTGTTCTCTCTCTTTCTCTCTTCTTCTCTTTCTCCCCCCTTTCTCTCCCTTCTATTCCCCCGTTTTCTCTCTCTCTCTCTCTCTTCTCTTTCTCTCTCTCTCTCTCTCTTCTCTTTCTCTCTCTCTCTCTCTACACACTACTGCACTATTGTGCACTGCATTATTGCTGTAGTGTAGTAGCGCAATAGTGCACTAATGCCTCAAAATACTATTGCGCAGCAGTACTTTTTTACAAGAATTAATTTAACGGGTATCCGAAGAAATAAGTAAATACTACATGCAAAATTTCAAAATTTATTAGGAAATTAGGAAGCTGAGAAAAAAATGAATTTGGATATATATTCATTCCATTAATAAATGTCAGCAAAAATTGCTAGGTAATAATAGTAATAATTTCTGTAATCTTGGTCATAAAATCCGAAACCCGTCAAATTGACGGATCCCATAAATCTAGCATTAAATCTATAAAATCGAATAGAAGGACACGTAGGGCAAATTTAAATTTGCGATTTTAACTCATCATTATTGCAGTTATCAGTAGATCGCTAATTTTATCGCGACTTCGTTGTCGTAGTACTTCCTCTCAGCTGGCCTTAATCCAGAGCTTGCGCACAAGAAAATAATTCACGATCGCCGCTAAGGTCAGCCATCAGCAGACTTTTAAGTCAGTCAGTCAGTCGAATCACGCGATTGATCGACTGTGGATCGGGAATATTATTATCTGTCATCCGGAAAGAGAAATAAAGGGAAGAGATGCCAGACGCGAAAAAAAGAGTATGCATCGTCGGCAGCGGCAATTGGTAATTTTTTTGTGCTAAGGATAATTAATTAGAAATTAATTATTGCGTACGAGAAATCGTTTCTCCCCCATTTTCTCCTATATATTCTTTCCCATCTTGTATTGTTTTATTGAGCTGTGTGCATCCTAACATTTGTTGGAGTGCTTCAGCTAGAAATGAAAGCTATACCTCTTCTTCAGGTAAGTTTATATAATCATAAGTAATATTAAATAATCGTTAAAAAATAAATTAATAATATAAATTAAGAAAATCTTTTGATATTTAATTAATGAATTATATTGTTTATCAATCAAATTTATTTAATTAATATTGGCTGATTGAGTAATATAATAATATAAAATAATTTTTTATATAATCGTATT